ATATACATATATATATATAAAAAATGCACCTATAAAAACAGAGTTTACAAAGTGCTTTGACAGATAAAGCAGCAAAAACAAGACAATAATAATAGAAAGAGGCAGACGATAAAAATTAACTAATAAAATAAAACAAATAAAAGCGACGACATCACATAAAAGCTAGTCTGTAAAAATGTGTTTTAAGAATGATTTAAAAGAGACACTGTCCCTTTAAGAAGTATTGTGATCACGTGTCAAACAGCTAACTTAATTATTACAGGTAAATTGTACTCATCATACATAGTATAATAACCCAGTTTACAGGTAAACATCTGTGTTTTTGTACCTTCCAGCGGAGGAACAGAGTGTTCATGATGGCCAGCAGGGGGCAGGGCCCGTTCTCACTCTGAGTGATGATGGGAGTCTTCTTCTCCTTCCAGGTGATCCACTTCACCAGGTAATAGGCCGGCAGGGGAGGCCCCGCCTCCACCGGAGCAGCAGTGGAGGAGGCGGAGCAACCAGGAGGGGGAGGAGCCGCAGCAGCAGCGCCTCCTGTGGACAGGAGGATAACTACAGTCATATATAATTTGTTTTTTAGCAGCACTCTGGTTGGGACATTTAAAATGTTAAATGTCTCACCAGCAGCTTCCAGCGCCTCCTCGTCCTTCAGACCGGAGACCTCGGTGGACGGGACGTCCTCCACGTCCAGGGAGGTTCCTGCTGCCGCCACCCCGTCTGACAGCTCCAGGCTGGGGATGGAAAAGGACGCAGAGTCGGTGGATCCACGCTGGTCGTCTGAGCCTCCGACCACAGAGGAGCTGTCCTCCAGGTCCAAGTCTAGACCTGTATAGACACACACAACACATCAGAGACCACAGAGGAGATGTCCTCCAGGTCCAGACCACAGAGGAGCTGTCCTCCAGGTCCTTTATCTGTTGGAATAGTAATTATTGCAGGACATGAAGTCCTGGTCCTCTCAGCTGATCCTGGACCTGGTCCGACCCCTCACCTGGCTCTGCTCCTCGGTCCCGTCCTCCAGTCTTGGCGTGTCTGAGTAGAACCGACAGAGATTCTTCTTCTGTGGTGACGGCGGTTATCGTCCCGTTTTCAGATGACAGCGAGGACGAATCTGGCGGTGTGGGCGTGGCCTCCTCCTGCTCCGCCTCCATCAGAACTTTGACGGGAAGAGGCCCATCGTCGGTTACGATCAGTTCTTTGGAGACTCCCTCCTTGGGAGGAGGCGGCTCCTCGCAGTTGTGGTCCGTCAGTGGCGCCGTGCTGGACTCCGCCATCACGCTGAAGAATCGAGGAGCGGTGAGAACGAACTCTTTATCAACAACAAAATAACACGAGTAGAAAATAAATAAATGAATCAAGACGCTGAAGGCTCATCGGGTTTGTTCTGCTCTCAAACTTCAAAGAGTCGCTTTGAGAAGCAGGCGTCGCCACAACATGGCCGCCGCCCGTCTTCTGAGGGCTCACGAAACAAACGCACCTTTCTATCGGACTTTGAACATGACGCAGAGTCTCTGGCGGAAGTTAAGTCCGTCGTCGTGAATTAAATATATATAGGAATAAAGTTAAAGGCTTCTTCTTCTTCTCTCCTGCTGACAGGAAGTAGTGAGCAGGATGAAGTCTCCGTCGTCGGTCAGAAGGAGGATTTTCTTCTTCTGCTGTCAGCAGAGCGTCAACACACTTCCTGTCAGACCTGAGGAGAAACACACGAGGACACGTCATTAAAGACGACGTCATCAGTCAGGTGACACGTGTGGATTCATCATCAATATTCTGATGAGAGAGTTCAATCTGTAAACAAATCAATTAAAAATTAATCTAAAAACATTTCTCACAAACCAGAGACGTTCAGTCCACAAACACTGGATCCTACATTCCCCACAATACACCTGGACAGTGTCTGTTGTCAGTGCCAGGACCGAGCCTGATGACATCACTATGACATCAGCTGATTTCACACGAGGAGAAAACATTTTAACTGTCAAAACAGATTCTATTATATATTCATAACAACAAAAAGTACAATATGTACCTGAGATGTAGTACAGTAGAAAGTACAACATGTACCCCTGAGATGTAGTACAGTAGAAAGTACAACATGTACCCCTGAGATGTAGTACAGTAGAAAGTACAATATGTACCTCTGAGGTAGTTTAGTAGTAGTAGTAGTGATGGAGGAGATAATAATACATAATAGAGGCCATCAGACCACGTAACTGAGGACCATTAGTCAGCTAACACTTAAGTTTCCGTTAAACCTCACGAGTCTCTCCGGTTAAAGATGTCTCTCGGTGATAATTCGGTGCTGTAACTGTCGGTACTTCCGGCTGACAGCAGTCCTTCATTACAACGAGACAAACCAAGAAAAACTCCTCCGGGTCCGGCTTTAAAGCAGCTTTCAGCTCCCTGATGCTAGCCAGCTAGCGTTAGCTAACCTGACGCTAGCTATCTCCAAAGCTAACTTAGCCAAGTTAGCTGTTGTTCACACAAAAAAGAGCGACAACTCCGCCACGAGACACGACACATGACACTTCTCCCTTCACACATCATAAAATAAACAAGCAGTCGGTAAAATAAGAGTTGTCTTACCGTGACGCTGCGCGGTGAGACGGACATGCTAACGTTAGCTGTTTACATGTCTCTCTGCCAGGCACACAAGAAGCCACGCCCACAGAAGAACAAACAACAACGCCAGCACACGTCATATCCGGGGTCTGGGGTTAGCCGTTTAGTCACCAGAAGAAGAAATAACACAATAAAATAAAAACGTTATTTTTAATCCGCAGTAAATGTCAAAGGTATGGAAGCACATTTACACAGCAACAAATAAATAAATTAAATTAAATTACAAAATAAAATTACAAAAAAAGATGAAAAGTTAGACTTGATAATAAAAATATCCCCATGGTAAAGATTATCATGAGATAGAAAGTAATAATATATATATATGTATATATAATATTTAATAAACATCTGTACACCTTTAAGCTCAGTGACTCGTTCCTCCTGTTTCTCTGTAACATGATGAACCTGATGAGTCAACGTGAGATCAATTAAACTCAACTTGTCTGAAAACATTAAACAATCAAAGTCTCTTTGAGTTTTTAACCCTTTAATCACCAAAAAACCTCAGAACACTCAGACAGGAAACAAAAAGTCATCACTTGTCTGTGTGTGTGTATGTGTGTGTGCGTGTGTGTGTGCTCAGCAGGTAGGGGCTTGCTTGTACAGTCATAGTCGGCATGGTAACAGGGCGGGCCTTCACCACACCTCTGAGTCCTGTTGGCTGAGAGACAGACAGACAGAGAGACAGACAGAGAGAGAGACAGACAGACAGACAGACAGAGAGACAGACAGACAGACAGAGAGACAGACAGACAGAGAGACAGACAGAGAGAGAGACAGACAGACAGACAGAGAGACAGACAGACAGAGAGACAGACAGACAGGTAAAGGTGTTAGAGTCCGCTCATAAACACACTGTAATGTCACCAGGTGAGTCCTGAACGAACCTGTCTCACCCTACTGACCCATCTCACTGAGCGTGGAGGAGCGTCCTGAGGGAGCAGATCTGCTGTGAGTCTTTAACTTTTTGGTTTCTATTGTTCATAGTTTGGTCTCCTTGAGTGTGACCGGAGATAAGATCTGTAAACACAACGAGACACGAGTCCGACTCACTTAAAGTTCAGCCTACATGTCGTTAAAGTAGTTAACTTGAGCTCTGAGTCTGTTTCAGTTATTTCTGACTCTACGGATCCTCCTGTCGACATAAACAGAAACACAGCAGACGACATCTGACATGTTATGGAAGTTATACATTAAATATAATGATGAGGACATTTGTTTTTTTCAATATAATCTCTGTGTTTAACTAAATAAACTGTCAGATATTTTATTACTAATACTACTAAAGTACAGGAGCAGTATTTCATATAAAGAATACTCCATTACAAGTAAAAGTCCAACATTAAAAATATCTTCATGTTGTTAAAGTATCAAAAATAAACTCAATAACCATTCCCAGTGTTTATATAAGCATCTATATATTTATTATTAGTTGATTACTGATGTTACTTAAATACTGTTGGGTCATGTGATTTATCACAATGCATCATATTTTATTGTACAATCATTGAAAATAATAAAAGACCTTCAATAAACCTGAAGGAATTATTGTGACAGAGATAACAAAACAACAACACAAGACTAGAGAACAATAGAGTAGTAAATATAAAGTGTTTAAGAAGTAATAATGACACAAGATAAATTCAGTCAAACTACAGTATAAATGTGTGTTCATGTCAGCAGGAAACAAGATGGAGTCCAGAGAAGAAGAACAAGAGGAAGACTCCCCGAGGTCAGAGTTCATCAGTTGAGCTGTAATCGTCACTTTTAGTTTTTAGTCCGTCAGACATTTAACATTTCATAAAATACGTCAGAGTACCAAACATTCTCACTGTAGCTGGTGAAGCGGATCAGTTTTAGGTTCCCTCCTGGTATCAACATCTTTTTCTTCTTCTTCTTCTTCTTTTAATGGCGGTTGGCAAACAGCCTTCAGGTGCTTTACGGCCACCCACTAATCTGGAGTGAGGACTCAAGGATACCGCGCTCCAATCGCCCGAGACGCATTTTAAAACCAATGTTACATTACAGTCATTTAGCAGACGCTTTTATCCAAAACGACTTACAATTCAGATTCTATCACGTAGGCACAGCTACGGGAGACATTTCGGGGTTAAGTTCAAGGACATGTCGACATGCGACTAGCGGAGCCATGGATCAAACCGCCAACCCTCTGATTGAAGGACGGCCCTGCTCTCCACTTAGCCACAGTCGCCAAGTGTTAACAGAGTCTTAGAGATATAAACTGCTGAGTCGTCTGCAAATTGTCTGACACGATATTCTCTGTTTGTTTCAATTTCATTTAATATCATGTGAATGTGCTGCAACTAGATTCATATTTGTATCTCATGGTTTGAGCTCTCTTGATGTTCTTCTTATATTTCCTGTGTTTTATGAAATAAAAAGTACTTCTCAATAAAATCACCGTCAACATCACTAAAATGATACTGTTGATGGTGAAGAATAATCATTTCAGCTGTACCTATTTTGAAGTAGCATGAAAAGAAAACAACTCAAGTAAAGTACAAGTACCTCAAGTGTGTACTTTAAGAGCAGTACTTGAGTAACTGTGTAAATGTACTGAGTTACATTCCACTGGTAAATAATACAAATCATTTCTGTGTTTGTGTGTGCAGGTCACCTGATGTCTTAACTACTACTACTGATACTACTACTAGTACTACTACTACAGCTGCTAGTAGTACTCTAACTACATCCAGGACTCCTGATGATCAGACAGGTATTCATTCAAAAAGATCACTGATATTTACTTTTTTCTTTTATAACCATCTCTCTTTTCTTCTTTTTGTGTTCGTCAGACAGGGAGACAGAAGAAGAAGAAGAAGAGGATGAGGAGAAGGAGGGTGAGGAAGACGAGTCTATCTTCATCTCTTCTTCACAGGAAGCTCCGTCTGTCTTCTTCACGTCTTCCGTTTGTCTCCCAGCAGGAGAACCAGAGCAGTCTAACCTCCACACAGGTAACACTGTAATAATATTAATAAAAACAATAATATTAGTAGTAATAATCAGAATAATGCTTATTAATAACAATAATAATAATAATAGAAAAGAGTTTGTAAATTGCTGGAGGATGAGAGAATAGTTTTATTTCTACACTGTGATATAATTTTACTTTAATTATTCCACCACTTCCTGTATGTTTAAGATATTTAATATTTTTATTTTTGTAGTTTTGATGAGTGAAATCTGCTTCCCCGTGAGGATCATTTATTCTGCTGTCGTATTATTTCAACACTCGTTTCATATTTAACTGTGAAACTACATCTGTGAGTTTATTCTAAACTCAGGTGTCCCGGGCAGCTCCTCTTCCTCTTCCTCTTCCTCCTCCTCTTCTTCTTCTCTCTCAGTTTCCTGTCTGACTTCCTGTCTTCAGGAGCCGTTGGAGACGAGTTTGTTTCAGAGCAGAAACAATCGACGCCGACCGGAGACCGACCAGGTACATCAATAATACAGATCATTTCAATGACTTTATGGTCTTATGTTTTATGTTCATGTAAGCATTAGAGTTCAGACCCAATGTGTGACCTCACTTCCTGTCTGCAGCTCCACCCAGTAGTCTGGCTTTGTCACGACCAACGAAGAAGAAGAAAGTCCTGGTGGCTCCAGCTCTCAGTCTGTCTTTAGGTAATTAAGTAATTCATGACACTAATATAATAATAATATTAATAATAATAATATATTGATAATTATAATAATAATGATAATAATGCTACTACTAATACTACTGCTAATAATAATGATAATAATGATTATAATAATAATGATAATGGTAATAATAATAATTATAATAATGATAATAATGATTATAATAATAATGATAATAATAATAATAATGATTATAATAAT